TATTTGTTTTAAGTTATTAAGAGAGTCTTGGTAATTTTTGTCAATTCAAATGTTTTTCTTTTGGTCACAGATATCAATGAATGTCAACCAAACGCCTTATCTGTAAATCACAGTCACTACGCCCATAACTGTCACAATGATGCTAACTGTACCAACACCAAGGGATCGTTCTACTGTACCTGTCATACGGGATACTCGGGGAATGGAGTCACGTGTACAAGTAAGTCTGATTTTTGACTCTCAGCTTATAACACGCAATGTCATTCAGTGACGACATGATTGCAATGATTTACGTCTCTTCCATTAGATATCAACGAATGTGAGACAAAGACTTTAGCTGTACATCACAGTCACTACGCCCATAACTGCCATGTTGATGCCAACTGTACTGATACTAAAGGCTCGTTCTACTGTACCTGTCATACGGGGTACTCAGGAAATGGAGTCACGTGTGTTGGTAAGCTCAGTCATGCCAGATGATCCAGTTTTTTTATCATTTTCTCTTTCTTTTTGCCGGATTTTCTTTACTAAATTATTGGTTTTAAATTGTTATTTTCTTTAGATATAAATGAATGTCGCCCCGATGCTATATCTGAAAGATATAAGCACTACGCCCATAACTGRCACGCTGATGCRAACTGTACCAACACCAAGGGATCGTTCTACTGTACRTGTCATACGGGATACTCAGGAAATGGAGTCACGTGTGTTGGTAAGCTCAGATAATCGCATAGATCCATTTTCAGGTCTTTTGTTCTCTCTCTATTTAATGCGTTTTCAATTTTTTTCATTCATTTATTTGATGTTTGGTGGTACATTTTTGTTCGTTCTTAGCCATATAGTAAACTTCTCTTTTCATTGTACTGACTGTATGTTTCTTGCTTTTCAGTTGTAGCACTCGCCAACTTTTTTTTTCTTTTAGTTTATTTCTTCTTCTTTTCGTTTCTTTTTTTTCGTACTTTGACATTCTATACATAAACCTGATCCATATTGCCCAATAACATACACTAGTGTTTGGGTTATATCACTCAAATACGACGTTAACTATTATAGTTGATAACTTCTTCCAGCAGTTAGATGAATCGAAGACTTGATCGAAGCTAATCTTTCCAAATGCAAGTGAATTCACAATACATTCTTCGGCATTTGTGTCGATTGCTTCGATTCTAAGTTGTACGATTCTGAATGGGCATGTTTCTACAACTTGATGTTTCCTTCCAATGTGATGTAGATTTATGTATTACTTTAACTTCTAGACTTGGACGAATGTACACCGGAAAGACTTGCATCAAATCATCTTCATTATCATCATAACTGTCATGCTGACTCGAACTGTACCAACACCAAGGGATCTTTCTACTGTACCTGTCATACGGGATACTCAGGGAATGGAGTCACGTGCGTAGGTAGGCAAAGGATTTGTCCAACTGATATCTTGTGTATAATTACAAGTTTTTCAGTTTGTTGCATGTGAATGGTCTGGACCCAGGTGTAATCGATGTAGGTGTGTTATGGTCTCCCGAGTACGAGAAGTCAGTTACCTAGCGTTTCCAGCGTGGAAGTCATTTTCAGCAATTTGCTCGAAGAAAGACTGTAAAGGAACCAAAAATATTTCAACAATTCGTTTAATTGTTGCGTTTGTTTCAGACATCAATGAATGTAATCCCTCGGCACTATCGGGCAACCACAGTCACTACGCGCATAACTGTCACAATGATGCTAACTGTACCAACACCAAGGGATCGTTCTATTGTACCTGTAAAGTAGGTTATTCTGGTGACGGTGTTGGTTGCGTAGGTAAGCTTTTATTACTATCCGTTACAATATTAGGATCAATCAATAATCGATGTAATTCTCAATTATTTAGACATTGATGAATGTACACCCTCGACGATTTCTAAGCGATATAAACATCTTGCAAACAACTGCCATCTTGATTCTAACTGTACCAACACCAAGGGATCGTTCTACTGTACCTGTCATACGGGYTACTCAGGAYACGGAGTCACGTGCACAAGTAAGGAGAGATTTTTCCCAATTTTTCCTTTGAAAACAAATTCCAGTATGAACTTGATGTTTCCATTTTATTAGATATCAACGAATGTGYGACAAATGCGTTAGCCGTGCACCACAATCACTACGCCCATAACTGCCATTCCGATGCRAARTGRACTGATACTAAAGGCTCGTTCTACTGTACCTGTCATACSGGGTACTCTGGAAATGGWGTRACYTGTGTTGGTAAGATATAATRTTCAATTCAAACTAAAGGTTTCTCAGTTTGTAGCACGAGAACACTACTAAGAGCTCATGAAATTGAATCCATGCAAGCAGACGAACTTATAGTCAACCCTTACTCATACCATGACTAAAATGCTGGCAATGTTCATATAGGATACTAATGAGCGTATTTTATGTTTTCATCTAGATATCAACGAATGTAATACAAACGCTCTGTCAGTAAATCACAGTCACTACGCRCATAACTGTCACAATGATGCRAACTGTACCAACACCAAGGGATCGTTCTACTGTACCTGRCATACGGGYTATTCAGGGAATGGAGTCGCCTGTGTTGGTGAGTATACGTTAGTGAGACCTGAATACAACAAGAATAGATTTGAGACGTGTTATTTTATTGACATTCCTTCATTCATACATATTGACACTTTTATTGTTTATTTTCAGATATCYATGAATGTTTCCCTTCTCAAATTTCCAATCGCTACAAGCACCTTGCTCATAATTGTCACAATGARGCRAACTGTACCAACACCAAGGGATCGTTCTACTGTACCTGTCATACGGGYTACTCAGGGAACGGAGTCACGTGTGTTGGTAAGTTCAGATAAACGTATGCGTAAAGTCTTAGGTTTTTGTCTTCTCTTTTTATACGTGTTTAGGAGCTCTTTCCCCCTTCTCTGTCGTCAATGAAAACATCGTGGATTTTTTCGTTTCTACTTTTTCGCAGACGACTGTTAGAAACAATACTCGTTTTCTTTGAGTCTTATTTGACAATATCCACACTTTTCTAGTCAATACGAGAAATCTAACTGTTTTATATCTTTGTTTGTCTGTAGATATCAACGAATGTGCTATATCTGATTTGGCATCACATCACTCTCATTACGCCCATAATTGCCACAATGACAGCATCTGTACAAACACCAATGGTTCATTTTACTGTGCTTGTAGGATAGGCTATACAGGAGACGGCGTTAATTGTACAGGTTAGAAAATGGAGTAAATCATAATTATATAGAGATTGCAGTTYAACTGYCTTCTTCTTTAAGAAAGGCTTCGGGCTGCAAGATATCACGGGATACCTACCGCCTGCAAATCAAAACAATTGATACACATGATTATTTTCGTCCTGAAGCATAATACTTTACAAATTAACAACTTAAATTGAATGAGCAGTATATCGTGGTTCAAATATTGTGTTTTACCACGGTAGTGACTGGTATCACTGTCTCTTAGCGTCATACAATTTATGAATGTTTTAATACTTTAGATAAATTGCATTCCTTGTTATTGCTATTGTTTTCAAGAGTAAGTGTTGTTCAAAATTTTATTTCTACAGACCAACTGATATAATATGCTTGACTGATATTTTCAGTCCATTTTAGTAGTTGCTACATTCGTTTATCTCAACATATATTTTTCCTTGTATATAGATATCAATGAATGTGAAGTTGGTACTCATACATGCCATAGTGACGCCATTTGTACCAACACCAAAGGTTCCTATACGTGTGCTTGTAAGAATGGTTACTATGGGAACGGATTCCAATGCGTGGGTTAGTATACACCTACACATCCTATAATATTTAATTGTTAAAATTTAATTATAGATCTCGATAATCGTTTAAATTAAGGTTTATTGTTTCTATTTCTTAWTGATTGGGAAGACACATAACTTTTACTAATGACTGAATAAACCTAAAGAAACCTAACCTTACTATAAACACTATTGACATATCTACTGACTATGGTACGTACATTTCAGAAAAGGTTTTTTGTGGCTCACCAGATAAATAACTCGAGAGTATTGACACCTACAACATTGTCATGACAAAAAAAAAAACAAAAGCAAAACAAAAACAGAAGTTCACACCAATACAATACCAGACCTACACTTACAGCAACTCCGAACAAACCTTAGGTCAGAGTGAGAACCTCTGAAACCACACAGCATGCATTTTAAAAATATAACATACGAGTTCCAAACCCGTACGTACTGACGACATTAAGACGTTTATTGACTGACCATGGAAACAAAAAAAATTGTTTACAAAATAACTTGTAAGATGCACACTGTACAACTCAACGTACATTTGTTAAACTAGCAGAACTGTAAATACAGGAAACTTGAAGACCAGGACTAGCATCCTACCAACAACAAATAGTCTAACAAGCACATCACATCAGTATGACGCTCGCTGTGKATCATATAAACTTCAAAGGTTAAAGAAAGATTTATCAGGCTTTCGCGCGTATCAACAAATTGCGTATAGTTGCGTTGGTGCAATGTAACACCTTCAATACCAAATACGGCCATGGCTTTGATTTTATACGGATCCTGTTGTACGAAATGTGAATACCACTTTCCAACAGATAAATCCTTATCCAAAATCCCATACAAAATCCAAGGAGTGGATAACTTTATCAACCTGTCCCTAATATATTTATTTTTTRCTTAGACAAAGATGAATGTACTTATGATTTGGATAACTGTCACGCTGATGCGTCGTGTACRAATACCAAAGGAAGTTTCACTTGTAAATGTCTTCATGGGTATCAAGGCGATGGCGTCAAATGTACAGGTAACAAGATCGTTCCTAGTCTCCCGCTGCTTTAGGCCGCGCGCGGTGCATCAAGGGAAGTTGGTCTTGAAAAAAGGCGGCTACCACTGCTGACTAAATACAGCAAGCTGAAAAGGGCCACTCGGCAACGAAGCACAACAAGCTTTGCTTGTTTGTTTCTTGTTGAACTGGTTCGTCATATTAGCARGATTTGAAGTTTTCAAAGGCTCGGTGCCACTTGCCKTCTTCTCTGGTTACAATATTATTAGTGCGCATACTCTTATATAACCTCTAAAGTTATCCCACATGGGRTAATGAATCTCAAACGGTAGATAGTTTTGCACATCTAATGGCGGTTTTTGTTTCAGATATTAACGAGTGTGTAGTTGGTACTCATAACTGCAGTAAAGARGCTAAATGTACCAACACMAAYGGWTTGTTTACATGTGATTGRTTTTCTGGATACAATGGCACTGGATATTACTGCGAAGGTAAAAAAAACTAAAGTTCTGATTCACTGTTAACTTTGAGACTATATTCATAATATCAGTTGTAAGCTATAAATCCTGTTAGGCGGATGATAAAATGTAATTTTCTTTAAACGAATCCAGCATGTTAACTGGAGTTTCTATCGTTCAAAATGAGCTCTCATTTCATGATAAGTTTTTTTTAACTTTCTCAGACATCAACGAGTGTTTAGATGGCTCTCATAACTGTGATCTTAAGGCACAATGTTACAATTTCAACGGTACRTTTCAATGTAATTGCACTACTGGATATATTGGTAATGGTACATTCTGTAGAGGTATGTAGTCTTGGCAGTATAGCTACATCACAGTGAATAATGGATCTTAATATGTGGAAATGTAGTTCAAAAATGATTCTCTTACTGGCTGATATTAGAGTGATCCACCTCACCCACCAGCATTGGAAACAATTTTGGTTTCCCGGAAAGCGTTCTTCTGGACTGTTTGGCTAACACAAGGCATTTAAAACATGGTTTTTGCTTTGTTTAGATCTTGATGAATGCGCAACAAATTCACACGACTGTCAAGGCAGCTCGAAGTGTGTAAATAACATCGGTAGTTTCTTGTGTACCTGTAATCCTGGTTTTAGATACAATGGTTCCGATTGCTGGGGTAAGAAACGCTTTTACTATAACGATGAATTCTAGGCCTTCTTTTGTATGTATAATAAACGTTTTGYATGCATATTGGTTCTTAAACAGATATTGATGAATGCGTCGAGAAGACACATAACTGTCACCACGAGTTTGGAATATGTACCAACGAGGCTCCTTTCTTCAACTGCTCATGTGCACTGGGGTCAAAAGGGAATGGTACAGAATGTGAAGGTATGGTAACACACCCTGCTGAACAAGTTTCTTTAAGACTGAAATTGATAAAAATAAAATAAATACAGACAACGATCTTTTTTGTTTGATTAAGTTGCACAATTTTTTAAAATTTAGCTTTAGAAAGGGTTTTCAAGGCTGTGTTTCGTCTGTCGTCAACTGTTTGGCGAGAAGAATACAGYGATTCCGGAACATCACAATTTAAAAGCTTAGCAAGAAGGGTAACGGATGCGGTAAGAAAACAAAGTGATTTTACAGTTTTTCCCTCTGAATACTCACTTCGATAGACTAAGACTTATTGTTTTGTTTCTTCTCAGCTTAAAGACATTTATAAAGATACCAAGTCTTACATCGGTAGTGAAGTCAAGAGATTCATAGACAGGTGAGAACAACACTGGAAAAAATCGCGCACTTTAAAGGTTGTAAATTTGATATAAACATGATGTAAGAGTCCAAAATGATGTAAATTTGATGTCATTTACATCAAATTTATATCCTTTAAAGTGCCCGATTTTTTTTTCAGTCCAATACCAATAAGAACAAACGTCTTATCTATTTTTGTGTTATTTTCATTGTGTTCGGGGAAGTTGTAACTCCTCCTTTTCTCACTGTGTACGACTCTTAAACAGAAATGCGGAGAAAAAGAATAAAACAAATCAATCAATGTTGACAATCAATTTTGTTTCTAGTGATGGTATGACAGAAGTCGATGTTAAGATGGTTTTCTCGTCGTACCCAACGCTCCCCACAAAGCCTCTCCTTCTTGCAGTAAAACGAGGCAGTGTTGGGACACTTGCTGCTGATATGAAAGACTTTAAAGTACAAGGAATTACTCGTAAGTAGAATATAACTGTTACAAAGATTGATTGATTGATGGATTTTTGATTGATTAATTGATGGTGGATTGACTGACTGATTGATTGATGGTTGATTGAGTGATTGATTGAGTGCGTGAGTGAGTGAGTGAGTGAGTGAGTGAGTGAGTGAGTGAGTGAGTTATTGATTGAAAATAATTAACTTAGTCATCACTGTAAATGTATTTTGTGGCAGATTGGGAAGAGTGTCCCATCAAGTGTTCTGTTGACGCTTTCTGRTCAAGAAATGAATCATTATTCCAGTGTGTGTGTAACAAAGGTTACATGGGAAACGGCAAAGAGTGTATTGGTAAGTCAGTAAATGTATCTAAAATYTTTGATACATAAAATACCGTCATCATACTGATKWTACGYGCACTCCGGTATTGCGGACACGCGATATTACGYACGKTTCAATAAAGGAAATTAGAGTGGATTCATAATATCTAGTGTGTTTGTGGTTTCCCAGCTCTGATCATTCAATTAGGTAAATTCCTACAAAACCCTTAGTCTAACATTCTTGTCAATTGGTGTAATATTGAGCAATTTCAATTTAAATGGTGTCTCACGGATATAGCAAATACTTTGTGCTGAAAATAACTCCCTTCATATCGGACACCTCGTCCTTACGGACACTTATTACGGCCCCGAAGGTGTCCTTTATAAAAAAATACAATGCGGACAATGTGAATGTATTATTTTCACAGATCAAGATGAATGCAGTGTTGGGAATGGTGGATGTGAACACCGGTGTATTAATAGTCCTGTTGGCAGCTATCACTGTACTTGTAACTCTGGCTTTGTACTCGATACTAACCGCAAAAACTGTAAAGGTAATCCCCAGGATATACTATCTCTTAAATGCATCTACATACCAGGATATACTCTCTCTTAATGCATCTACATACCAGGATATACTCTCTCTTAATGCATCTACATACCAGGATATACTCTCTCTTAATGCATCTACATACCAGCCACTTAATCAATGATTAGACCCTGTAAAGCGAAAAGACAATGGCTTTGTACAGGGGTAACTAACGGTTCGGGAGGGGATTTAAAACTGCACAAAGAAACCTTAAAGATACCGAAATTCTGTTAAAAGGAAGTGTTTAGTAAATTATTTCAAAGATAAACGAGATGAAGAAGACAAAATAGTTTAAGTTAGGTAAATGCAAGAAAATAGGGCAGAGATCTCTGCTCACTGGATGGGAATYAAGACTCCTATTCAGCCAAGCTTGATTTTTTATTAATTCTCTTCAGTTCTTGCGTTTGTTTACGAAGATCAAACCCATACGACAAATGCATTTGAATCAAACCTTAATCATTTCACTTATGTCTTAGTTTCTGCAAGCCATAGCGATGTCAGTGCTTACTGTCCAGCGGAGTGGAAACAAGACGTATTGTGGAGTGCTACAGTCTCGGGCAGTACCAGAATGCAATTCTGTCCCGATCCACTAACTGGTAAACAGCCCATTATTCTTTTACTGAACAAACCTTGAATTGATAACCTGTCTTTACACGATTTATCATTCAGATAATTTAACCTGTTATATCATTATTTGAATTTTTCCATCATATTTGAAGGTCAAGCTTCTCGTGAATGCTATAAGGGGGTCAGCGGTGGGGTTTGGGGAGTACCGGATATGACGCGCTGTGTGACCGATCCAATGAAGAATCTCAAGCAACAGGTGAGTAGTGTCTAGTCCCCTACGCAGGCAATAGAGGCAGGGATCCCGAAACAGAATACTCAGAAGTACGCTCATAACGTTAAAATCCACAAACAAATTTTTTTAAAAAAAGGAAAAACTTCCATATATTTAGTGAGTGAAGGACTCAAGGGATTGGTGTTGTTTTGAAATGATTTAGTTTTCATCTCAATATTTTGATTTGTACAATGTTTGATGATATTGCGTGTAGAAAACTCAGTTTCATTTATATTTCCCACTTTATATGTTAAAGGTAAAAGTTGAAGTTGAATCTAAAGGAGTCCTAACATTTCRTGATCTCGCTGCTGAAGCGGACAAACTGTTTAACATCATTGATCCAAGTAAAGAGAAGATTTACGCCGGGGATGTTATTACATCAATATCYTTGCTTGATCAYCTGGTGGATGCATCAAACACTACTAATGCTAACGCCACAAACGAAGAACTCACGATGTTTGTAAAGGTAAGATAGTTACTCCGTGCTATATTTTTCSWTGGGTAGTRAAGAAAATTTAGTTATTACGTTCTTTTGGTTGAGGGTAAAAGAAGSTAYAAATAGAGTAAAGAAACCTTGCACAGATACAGAAACAAACAAARASYCAAAATCAAAACAGCACAGGTAGRTCATAGCGCTTTGCGSCTTCCCTATTGCTCTCCCAAAGTCAGTTTAAACAATAGATTGCAGTTTCCATCTACTAAATTCTGTTTCCTCTCCCAGATAAAGCTGCCTTTACGTAAACGAGTCTAATATCAATAAAGTAACAATTTCAAAGCTTTATAACCGAATTTTCACTTTATGTTGTGCAGAGTGTCGTGCGAGCAGGAGGAGGTCTTCTTGAGAAAGGAAATCGTGAGGCCTGGGACGGAATGAACGCGGTAAGAAAAGTTCTTGTTCATATTTTGCTAAAATAATTTAATGTTCCTGCAGTCTGCAGACAGGCTGATCCAAATTTACCTTCAGTGGGAGGTGAAGGTCATCTATGATGGGTTACACACCACAGAAAATTGACGAAGGAGACACCATGAATGGGATTCTCTCGTTCTAGTCAATACGTCACCATCGATATCTATCCGAGAGGAATGTCACGAAAGAGAGGGGTGTTGCATCTCTCTGAGCTGGATTCGTTACCGTAATCATTGTGTGTAGTTATCAATCCCAACACGTTCTTATTCATTGTTTTCAGCCTGCTTCAAAAGCCAAAGATCTCATCAATACGGTGGATAGATTGTCGTCTGTCATATCGAAAAGACATGAGGGAATCATGAAAGCTAATGTTATCAACGATCCTGAGCTCTTCGCTAGTCTAAGCCTTAGATCTTTCACAGATAACATATGTAAGTACTTTGTCCATTTTAATTAGTATATAAACCTTACTAAACATGTATTAAAAAGGGCGTTTTCAGCTTATGGTTTTCCATTTATCTACTCAGAGGATATTTTGGCGATGAAATGATTTGATTGTGTACCATCTTGAAGATATTTTTTATAAACTGGGCATTTTAGGAAAAAAGGAGCTTCATCCATAAAAGAATATGATACCTCGCAAGCAAATCATTATGTCYAGTTCYCCTTCAAAWCTGTCACCTTAGTTRATGATCTGTATTACCTTAYCTAATCATTGATTTTAATGTGGATTGATTTGTTTCTAGATATTCACCTACTGGTTGTTGAGATGAATACGTTCAAAGGGGCGACATTACCCAATGTAACTTCTACTAACGCTACACAAACTGTACAAGACACTATTTACTATCCTGATACAATGTTTACAGCTGCACTTGTCGAGAAAACCAAGCATGGTAAATACTGAGTGATTCAAATAGCTTTTAGTCTTGTCTTATGGGCTTTTAGCGGACTCGTTCTCTTTTTTCTTCTCCATTTCCTTTTTTTCAACATGGCGACGTACGAGCATTTGAATTTCGAAGTATTTGAATTTGAGAAGTCCCTGAGAACAAGGTTGCACTTATGCATAAATGGTGCCCTTCTCTGTGCCAGTGGAATTGATAAGGAGAAATGGGAAAGATAAAAAGAAAGACAAAAAAAGAAAAAGGAAAGACTGAAAATAAAATAATAAAAAAGAAAGTGAGAAAAAGAGAAAGAGAAAAACTACATGAAAAGGCAATTTATTGTTCAGTCCAATGCGAATATTATTTCGTGTACACTAGCACCGCTTTAAACTCAAATATAGAACTCTGTAACTAGAAAGTGATATATGTAAGTTGGTACACTTGTATGACACCAATTTTTATTTACTGCTTATTCAAAGGTTTTTACACCAGTCTCGGCTGTTACGCCGACAAAGAGAAAGACCGTGCCATTCCAACAATGGAAGGAACTCATTCAGCTCTGGTTGACAACTTTCTTGTTCGTAAAAAGGCCGTCGATAAATGTGCACAAGTCACRAAAAGRAGAGGCTGGAAAGTCTTTGCCATTCAAGATGGCGGATGGTGCGCATCGAGTGCGACTGCGCACCTAACATACAACAAATATGGRGTCGCCGATAACTGTGTGGCGGGAAAAGGTGGAATGTTTGCAAACGACGTCTACATCATAGACGGTAATSATTATTACWATTTATTATTATTAAATGTTTTTGACAAATCACTTATGCTTAGATTTTATTTCATAGCTTATTATGCCACGATACAAACTGTGTTTTATAAAAATCTTGGAGACTTYCTTACGTATGACCCACTAGAAGAAATCGAGTAAGTAAATCTAGTATGAGAAATGAATAATTCTAAATGTTTTTGTAAACCTCCCTTTCAAACTGTTCAATGGACTCACACTCGAGCTCTCAATCAATGGTAACTGACTGTATCAAAAATAACTGATGTAAAACAAGCGAAAATAACAAAAAATCAAACAAAACTAGACACGATTTAGCCTAATGTCTAGGGTTCATTTACTGACTGTAATGTTCGTTTTCCATTCGTTTAAGGCTGCGTCAAAAGACCGGTGCTAAAGCGATGTACAARAGCTCAAGGGATAACTCCATTGTCATCTCGGGACGAGTCATAGACGAGAAAGAAGAGTTCTTCCAGACTTTAAACAAACCTGTTGAAATGGTCTTCCAGCATTTYGTAAGTTCGCAAAAGTGACAAAAAGTAACCATTGATAGCCCTTATTTAGCTGACCGATAGTACAGATTATTCACGTAAATTACTGTTAAATTTGTTTTTAAGCAGTTTTTGAGTAATTTGTATTTGAGCTGGGGTCACAAACTTCCTGCTCCCATTTGAAAGCCCGTCTGGATTTCCGTGGATAAAAAGTTAGAATCAGTACATTGTAATTTGGGATATACTATAATTCAGAGAAAATACGAATTGAGAACAATTTCATCTCAACTGTGTTTACAAGAGYCAACATTTAGAGAAAAATGCTAAAAAGAAAACACTTCCTTTTTCTCCTCAGGACTTGAATGACACCGCGAGGAGAGACACAAGACTTCTTTGTTCTTTTTTAAATATGAACTCAGAGTAAGTACTTGAAAATGTAAACCACTTGCTCCTTGCGAGATAGTTTACACAATCTTGAAATAACAAAGCAATTGCTAAAGAAAGGTCGAGTCTGGTCGAGACTCGGCGCATGTTTTATATTATTTTCTTTGRCATATGCCTTTTATCCATCTAASAGTCTGTCTATTTTGCCAGTATTCCCAAGGATCGATGGTTGTATGACGGCTGCACACGGTCATCTACCAATTGGACACACACCGTCTGTCAGTGCAGTCATCTAACAAACTTCCAATTGTTACTTGAAGACTTTGAGCCAAAGGTAAAATATCGATTTTATATTGATCCTGTCGACCTGTTTTTTGTATATGATTTCTTTATCATTATTTTTTGTTGATTTCTTTTTAGGAAACAATTGATGATTATCATCAAAGGCTTCTTAAACTTCTTTCTTACATAAGCTGTGGAATATCAGCCAGCTGCTGTGCTGCAACCTGTATAGTGTACACAGTACTTCAGTAAGTGGCATCATGATTGATTGATTTCTTGTTTTTTTTATTGATTGAATGATTGATTGATTAGTTGAATGATTGATTGATTGCCGAATTGATTGATTAGTTGATTGATTGATTTGTTGATTGATTGATTGCCGAATTTATTGATTGATTTATTAGTTGATTGATTGATTGATTCACTGATTGATTGATTGATTGATTGATTGATTGAATGATTGATTGATTCACTGATTGATTGATTGATTGATTGATTGATTGATTGATCGATCTGTACTTTCTTCTAGACTTACGTCTGACAGAGCTCAAATATTAAAAAATCTCGCCTTCAACATTGGAGTTTCTCAGCTGATATTTCAACTCGGTGCCCATCAGACACAGAGCAAGGTATGTGTTTTGGTATTCCATCAAACCTTGGCCATTCCACTACACACAATTTAAAATAAGAAACTGCTGCACTCGACTATGAACCAAAACTCCCATCTTCGCCAAACTGCGTTTGATTGTCTTATCTCAAAACCGCCGCTGCTTGAACGGCATTTAACCCAAGTTCTATCATTTCTCCAGTTAATGTAAATCATTTGACTTTTCAGATGCTGTGTAAAGCAATGGGTATATTGCTGCATTTCTTCTTGACAGCCATGTTTTCATGGGCATTAGTCGAAGCATGGCACCTGTATGCTCTTCTTCTACAAACTTACACCAAAAATACAAGGACMGACTTCCGTAAAAGATACTATATACTGGGTTATGGTGAGACACGGTTTATTAACTTTGTTATTCATTTCCACCACACTTTCGCAGCTTTCGTTAACATTGCTTAGGTCCTAAAGGGGCAATTCTCATGAGAGTCGGTAGGCCTATTTATTAGGGGTCACTTGTTTTGTGTCCCTAAGTAATAGGAAGGGTCACATCCCTCCACATGGTCGAGTCATCTCAAACTGATCACGAGAGACTGGAATGAATAAATTACGAGAAAGAATTTTTAGTTATATTGATGATATTCTTGTACTTTGAAGGTCTTCCTACTGCTATAACTGCTCTTTCAATGGCTGTGTTCTGGGATAACTACGGTGGAACAGACATGTAAGTGTGCCTTGATGATATGACTGTTCTCAAAACAACAAGCCTCAGTATTATTAATATTATTAATGATATTATTAGTCTCTATTATATTCCTTATTTTATCGAAAAAAATCACTGAAATTTCCAGACACAAGTTTCTTWTTCTTCGTTTGTCAATGCTGTCCATTTTCGCTGTTGCATGCTGTCCGTGCTGGTAATGTGTTTATTGATGTTGTTGCTGTTGTTGTTGCTGATGTTATTGTTGTTATTATTGCTGATGCTGTTGCTGTTGTTGCTGCTGCTACTATTGTTCTTACTTCTCAACCATCCACCTAGATCCCCCTCCCCCCTTTTTATCAGCTAGTTCGTGTGTTATATGTACATTGACTTCTAGATGTGCATGTTACCTTATTTTTATATATTACATTGACTAAGGTTTTTCTATTTCAGTTGTTGGGTCAGCCATATAGTTTTAGTGTCATTGTTCGTACCACCAATAGCAGTTATTGTATTGGTGAGTAAATCAAATCCATTCACAGATCGCATTGACTAAGAATCCTGGAATATTAGTTCATATTTCGTAGCATTTTGTCTTCCATTCTGTTTATTTGATTTCCATTCCAAGGACACAGAAAATACAACGAGTCAGTGTGGATGAGGCCTGACAGACCATTTTTATTTATAGAAATTTTTATCTTAATTGAAATATGTGGTGTTGTAAGTACAATTCGTTTAGTCGTATGTAATGGTGTTTCATTCCCTTGACAGACTACCATTATTATACTGGGAATGGTAACAGGAGTTTTGGTATCACCTGATGCCGTCAACAYACGCAGCGATGCTGATACTGGAGCAGTACTCCATATAATCAGGTTTGCATTCATTTATTCTATGAATGTACGTAGGAACAAAGGGAACTCAATTCTATTTAAATACCATGGGCGTATCCAGAATTTCCATTGGGGGGGTCCTTACATACCGAATTGTCACTGTGGCGTCATATGACGTCAACATGATGTCATATCAATCTATAGTTTTCACCTTTTTTGTCTTTGCACGGGCAACCTATGATCCCCTCAATCAAGAAGAAATATTAATATATATTTTTTTCTTTTTTGTGTGTATTCAGTTCAAATTTGAAGCTTTCGTTGGTTCTCCTCCCTCTTGTTGCTGTGACTTGGGTGATTGGCTTCGTTCAAGTTACCTCTGACTCCATTGCATTGTCTTATGTGTACGTGGTTCTCAACGCAAGTCATGTAAGGACTTTAGCATAGATCGATCGACTGATGGATGGATTGGCTGACGGATTGATCGATAGACTTATACATTGATTGATTAATGGATCGATTGATTATTTAGTCGATCACTTGTTTGACGTATTGATTGATTGATTGATTGATTAGTCGATCACTTGTTTAATATATTGATCAAATGGTGGACTGATTGATGAATTGATTGATTAATAGGTCGATTGGTCGATTGACTTATAGGTTGATGATTAAATGAATGATTGATTGGTGCATTGATTGATTAATTGATCACTTGTTTGATGTAATGATCGAATGATTGATTGACTGATGGAATGGTTGATTAATTTATTTATTAATTACTTTATTGATGGATTGATGGATTGATTGATTGATTGATTGATTGATTATTAATTTTTAGGGTGTGTTTTTCTTTGTTAATCATTGTCTTCTGAGCTTTGAAGTAAGCCTAACATTCAAGAAAAGATTCCTTAAACATTTGRTGAAACCCGAACACTCGTATGGTATGAGAACCCGTATGTCCCCTTCWGAAGGACACAGGCCTCAGGAATCAGAGATGTTCAATCAAGCAGTTAGCAAGGTATCAAAAATCTAAAATCATGTAGCTTGGSAATGATTGATTCGAAGCATCACAGCTCCCTGAAATATGAACATGTATGCATATATTCTGTCGATTGCCTCGAGTGCATTACTACGACAAGAGCAACTTCTTATACCGAATTACTTGTCTAATACCTTGTCAACTAATGCTACAAAAGACAAAGGGTATTGATTAGAAGAACAACTAGTTAAGTCRGGATCACTTGTATATCCAAAAACTTTTGAGAATTTTTCTCTTGCGTCACSACGGYAAAAAATGAAGATTGAAAAGAAGRAGCAAAGAATTTAATACTATTTTCTTTAATTCTATTTTTAATCAATACAGGCAAGAGCTTATAATGACACTTCGTTCAGCAAAGGAAGGTCAAAGCGCCTGCAACATAGCCATGGATCTGGTAGTAGCCAGGAAACGTCTGTATACGACTCCAATGAAGATGTTAAGGTATAGCAATTATGTGTTGATAATATTTCATCTTAGACCTGTCGTATTCCATGCATAATCATAACACAAAATTGATATTGCTCGTTGGTTTCGGTAAATCTAATATAAACTGTGTTTTACATTTTATAGAATCAATGGCGTGAAGTGAATGAGATGTAGTAGATKCTTTACATGTGTAGTCCGCATGACAGACTGGATAGCGGTTAACATCCAAAACGCATGCGACATTGTGTTGCTCAAACTGCTCCATCTGCCATGATAGAGGAGAAGGTGTGAACGCGATCCCAATTGTATTTTTGCCCGTCTTCCTCGTGGTAGACATTCGCTAGGAGTTTCCCTTTCTACCGATCAGCCAAATGTTCGAAATAGAGTAGAAAATAAACTAAATATTGATTAAAAAAGATGCTCTTAAAAGTTCATCAAATTTCGTCAAACGATACACTTCACTGTAGAATACACTCAATTAAATCGATATTGTTGGATTCAAGAAGAACYCAGAAGCTAGACAGTTCATGGACAGTTTAGTTTTGATTTCGTATCAATAAGTTACAGATTTGTTGGTCTGTATTTAGCAATAGTCCAGTCCAAGCAGGACCGTATAAATCAATAGTCTCCTACACGGTTCTCTGCGACATCTTGAATGGTAGATGAGATCAATGAGATGACCGTTGGCGCGTCCAATGGTAGAAACCTTCTCTCACACCTTGCATGCTCAACGGTCGTCTCGCTTCGATGCAAAGTCACGACTTCCTTTCAAAATAGCGTAGGGAGCCGTGAAGGAGACTATAGGAAATTGAAGGACCGAGTCTGAAAGGATTCATGGGAAGTACAGTAATTAAAAGCCTGYCACATTTCTACTTTGATGTTGAACTTGACAATGTGTATTGAATTGAGTGTGATAGGATATATTTGTAATGTTAAGATATAAAATAAATCACACTGATACTGATGTGAACTTGTTTTTACTGTGCACCGACGATTACAATGGCGGCATAGCATTCTATCATCCTACACAAGCATCCTAAAGAGTCACGGGCTTCCTGTCTTTTTTCTTGGAGTAGTTTGGGAATTAGGGAGGACAACCTCGTTCCCAGGGCTACTCTGCGCCCAGAGATAGCCTATCTCTGTCCGCCATTTTGAAAAAAGCGAGCAGAGTAGCCCTGGGAACGAGGTTGTAGGGAGGAAGGTCAATATGACTGTTCCAAAGGAAGCCCAAAGGAGTTGCCATGGAGGACCGATATCCGAAAGTTAATGTTATCATGAATTAAGTTTAAATCCGAGTCTGGAGTGGATAGAGTACACTACCCAACCAGCGTTACCCAACCTTAACACTGTTGTTTTGAGGTCTGTCATATCAGAGTTACTAACTCTGGTCATATGAATGGTCATTTCCCGGACGTCATGTACTATTACATTGACGATGCAGTAGAAGATGCAACCATGTTGACTTTTCGGCTTTTCTGCAAGCAACAACAGTAGTCATCTTATTTAAATAAATATCGTTTGAAGCATCCTCGACTAAAAAAAAGATAGTTTGTTCTCCGAACTTATGTAGGAAGACATCCAACGTCCTTATCTTTTGTCCATACCATGATGCACTTCGCCAGAAAAACCATGACGTCATAAATGAAGACCAAAAAGGTTTAAAACTTRCAGGRCCTCTGACTAGAATCCTTCATTAACACAACAGTCTGCATTCTGACYARAATGATTTGGGAAGAGAGAAAGATGGGGACAAAGAAGGAAAAAAAGAACAAAATCCAGGTTTCAATTTTCTATTTTATTATAAAAATATAACTTATTACCCAATTACACATAATAATATGATTGCATTATATAATTCTAGAAAAATACAAAAATAATTTCATGTAATTTGATATTGATGCTACTCACAGTAGAGCAAGATATAGTTAATTGTGTGGGCGGAAATATAAAAATAGTCATTTTATTAAAATATACATTTTCTTTGGTGATTGAATCAAGAATGGTTGGGAACTTTACGTCCATGAGTATCGTGATCCAACATATGCTAAAATACAATWAAACAGATTGTTAATTAGAGCCAACACAAATTCTATCCAGGGGATGACTTCGTACAACAACAACAATGATTTGCTATAATGTCAATGTTTCGATACCCCAAACCCTCCCACACCCTCCCTCATCTTAAGTATACAACCGACCTACCTCCTACACATCAGTAAAAACGTACTAGTGTTAACATTCGTAATGTACATAGAGGCAAAACAAAATCCGTGAAACAAGTTCTAATATTTACTAATCCAATACTTATTTCACGGMTTTACGGAGACGAAACATTCCTCTTACCGTGAGTGAGTCTAGTTCCTTTGAAAACGCACCAATGGCTGTAGGTTTCTTGATTTCGATTAGCTGTCAATAACAACGTCAAGATGACACAAATATCGAAAAATGTCTRAAATATAGAAACTTCGGGTGGTAACTATGCTCTTAGTGGACAACTCTAAATTTTAAAGTATGCAATATGTAAAATGTTAGTTTTTAACAAAATGACATGATCTCGCTGCCGCCCTCTAATGAACTCAGGTATGCCGCGTCATTTTCGTTTGACCATTCAATGAAACAAGTCACTAAGACTTGCTTCAACTTACCTCGTCACTATCAGCACGTCTTCTCGGGCGATTATAATCGTCGTCTGATCTTCGGCGTGTTCTTGTAACTGAGGGTTTAAGTTCTTGTGGAATATCCAAGTCCATTGGGCACACGTAGTTATCAGGATCACTACCTTTCTTACGCAGGGCACCAAGAGACTTGCTCTTCTTTACAACCTTAAAAAGAACAGTTTTAGRACAAGACTTACTCGTTGAATACTAAGACACTTGTTCGATCATGAAATACATTTCATTGTTGRTTGGTAAGTGCGCGCGCCCTGTCATTAGCCATATTTGTTTACGACATCCCGAATGTAATCATAGATTACGTTCACAAGGGGCCGGTCAAGATTGAGGACACCTCGGTTTTAGGACAGTTCCCACTGTTCACACGGAACCTCCCACATTTCGGTACGAATTGAAGCATGCTTCGAAGTGACCTGTCCTCAAAGTGGAACGGCTTTTTAGCCGGCCCCAAACCTGAACACTTTGCCAGCCCCAGATGAGGCCAGTTCCAGAGTTCCAGTGTGAACGCGCGCCTAAACTAGAACGGTTCCGAACGGAACCGGCCCCGTGTGAACGTAGCCATACTGAAAAGGTGATCCAATCTCGTAACCAGGCCTTTATAGGGATAAGGACGTGTGAACTACAATCGTTGACAAAATGCTTGGACCATTCCAGTAAATTCCCTCATTTTAAGCAACACCAGCAAACAATTTCATCCCCCCAGATCCCCTTAATGCAATGTTGTCATTGATCATGTTACCGTAGTACACAAGCATCCAAAACAAGACCCAACATTGATAAAAGGGGGCTAAGGGGGAAAACTGTGAAAAAATAAAGGAGAAAAATGTTAGGCTGGAGACAAATAGTTGTACGGTCCAAGGTATTTTGGCAACGATGGTAGATTGATGAAAATCATTGTTTCATTCATTTTGAGATCTGACTTTCGTTTTTCCGATATCTTTTTTAATATCTTCGTTGTAGAAAATACTCTAGCTACCTTCTGTTTGACGCTTGGCATCAATGGAGTGAAAGACGGTGATAAAGCGGCTTGTTCCTTTAGTCTCTGGCATGCTGGACCYATYAGAGACTGGAAATGAGATGCTAAATGTCTTCTTAATAARGTCTTGGTGGGAGGAATAGACAGTAAGGCAGCTAATGTGTCAGCAGTGAAACGGGGCTCTAGAATCTTTGAGAAAACAAAAACAAATACATTGACGTAATATTTTTATTGAAATCATGTTTGATAGCACGCTTTCTATATCCTGAAAAAAAGTACTGAAGATACTGTTTATCCTCAAACCTCGTCTTTCGAAACTAGTGACCAGCAGGAGCAAAATAAATTACAAAAGATTTCAAAAACACCCTCAAGATCTCCGGTTAGTTCATTATTTCACTTAACAACCGAGGTTTTTAGTACAACACCTGTTTGGTAATATCTGCCTTGTTAGGAATACAAGTTTWGCCGGTTTTAAGACGAGTTTGTATYCTCACCATRAAGGCACCATGTACTCCATTGCCACGTAGATTAGGCGCGTATTCTGCTAAATCAACCAATCGCAACCACTCGACCACTCGACCGTTCGTCCACAGTAAAACATCAGCTCCTTTTTGCCATGACTAGYAAATAATGAGTGTGGGTAGTGGTATTTAGGATAAATACCACGCGTGATATTTCAAAAATGTCAAATAAACTATTTAACTAATTTGTGACAATTTTGAAATATCGCAAGTGGTATTTATAACCCAAGCTACGATCAACTTATTTCTAAAAAAAGAACAATTTTCGACATAATCTACTCAGTTTATCTGTACTTTATTATCTTAATTAACTTAAAAGTTTCGTTCKCATTCAGAATTTCCTTTTTTCTCATCTTTCCGGCCTAAATAAACGGAGACAGTTGTTAGGTTTCTTCAGCATTAGAAGCGCTGTAAGTCGTAAATGTTCTCCTGGTATTGATACTAGAACATGAAATTGTTCTCAATATTGCCGTTTTTCCCATATTTAGTATTGATATTTAGGTCCGAAAGGGAATTTCAAATTTRAAWTAATCTCACTTTCGCCATCWAGTGTARAAAAGAACCTTTWAWACGATTTTTGTGTTCGCTGAAACCTCAAAAACCTTAGACAAATAATGTTCATAAAGTGTTTTTCATTTGAAAATGATAGGTCTGTGATACCAATAGAAGTACACTCTGAATCAATTGTTTTCATTGTTCTTTATGTATAACAAATACCAACTAAATAGTCATTTTCACTTTACACTACGCGAGACTAATGTTGCCACGATCTCCTCACATGTAGGATTCAGATTTAGTTTTTTATACATTGATTTATAGAACTATAACAATGAGAAGCTTTTCATTAATTTATTAAAATTCGTTATTTATTTATCTATGTTGATATATCCATATTATATGGTTATTTGCAATACAGCCTTTTGCAAATATGAGAATTGTCTAAATATCTAAATATCATAATATCCATATTCATATATTGTCCGGAACACGCGGGTTTGCTAGAATAATTCATTGTTGACATCGAGAAAATGTTCAGAACTACGGATAAGTCTGTCGCCAAAAAAAAACTAAACTACAAAGACAAGGGACTAAGGGCATCGCGCGAGATTACCCATCATGCACTCGATWTTATGATATTTAGATATTTCYACAATTCTCATAATTTTTGCAAAAGGCTGTAATTCTGACCGCTAACGTATACCATTATATCGTGATGGGTAATGCATGTGATTTTAGCGTTCCTTTCTCGATAAACAAGCTTGCACATCAATAAAACTCTTAATAGTATGATTTTRWAAGATGATGATGGTGACTTTTTTTACGCACTTGAAGAGCACTTGAGTCATTTTAGCCTTCAAAAACAACACCGCGACTACCATGAACAAAAGCACTTGCCTCGATTGTATTTTTTCTGTTTGTCTTTCGTTTTTAATCACTCATACTTTCAAAAAGAAAAACATATTATCTTTTAGGAAGTTACCTAGGTTAATTTTCGTCCCAGACCTAATTTCGTTGATTAAAAACCTAATTACTCACCTCGTCGATGGGGTATCTCTTGAGAGAGTTAGGATGGAAGTTATTGAACCTAAAGGTAAAAGGATTCTGTTATAAATACATTAAGAACACACTGTTTTCGTGGAGAAGAGCAAGAATTATACTCACCTAAGGCACTGAATAGCTCGCTGAATACTGACATTGTGCAGTGCATTAGAGACTTTAAGCTGTTGTAAATCTTCCTGTGTACACAAATTGCATGAAAATAAAAAAACAGGTCTTTTATAACAGATTTTCATAGAATTGCGCGCAAAGAAACACGCGTGCATACTCCAATCTTCCCTACACTTGTTCGGCGTTTGTTTCTATCCTACAGGCAAAAACGCGGCTCAAACACAGATTATTTCGTTTTCCCACGCCTCCCCGTGGATTGAAGCTTTTAAAAAAGTGTTATAATCCTCGTCAATAATGTGTTAATTTACCGGCCCTCCCAGGGTTTAAGAGACCGAGGTTTCAATTAACCAAAGCTTGTCATAATGAACTAGAACATTACTGAATGAGTAAGTGGAAGGATACTACCAAAAAGGAAATGGACAAATGGTTCGCACTTTAGCCAAAAAAAAAAAATAGGAAGTGTCTCGAACATCTGGAGAGGAAGTCCGTTTTTTCCGATATATTCTACTTACAATTGTAAGGTAATTCAACATTCTACCATCAATACATGCGTCACTGAATGTATCTTTATAATGCGGCAGACCAATGTCCTCTAACCAACCTAGTCCCAATTTTATGATTAAAAAAAATGAAAAATAATCACCATAATAA